TGGCAACATTTAAGTCCCCTTTCTCCTGCTGAATGAGATGCTCGGTCAGAGCTTTGGAGAACGTGTAGGTGTTGGGCCAGTCTCCAATCAATTTGGGGGTGATTGCTTCAACGAGGGACTCATCCATCCACCTAATGGGGTTTTTGTTAAAAAAGTAAAAATAAAAGATATCCATGTGGGAACAAACTTTAACCACTGTGCTTACACACTTTTATATGTATATCCTTGGAAAAGCTAATTTTCTGTGTGTGTGGCAGAACTTCCTATAAGCAACTAAGTGGAAATAAATAAGGAGAAATACAGAAAAGTTATTTTCTATAGCACCCAAGTGGTTTATTGAAATGAAGTATTAATATCCATTGAAGGATAACAAAAGAAGGATTTTTAAAAAATCAGCTTCTTTGAGTGTTGCAGCACAGGAAAACTGAAATGTCTTCTAAAAAATGGAGTCATATCCTATTCTGCTGATGCTCACTTTAAATCAGAAATGATTTTCCCACTCGCCTCTCCATATGACACCCCAAACTTAATAAGGGGAAGTTAGAAATCTCTGTTAAATCTAAAAGAGTTACTTGTCTGCAACCCGTCTTTCTCCCAGTGACAGTGGCAATGAGATTGCATGGTCTGAGAACATCACCCATGACTTCAAGGCTTCCCAAAGGGCCCAGGAGCCAATCAGTGACAGAGGAAGCCCCAATTCCTCTATCAGGTCATAGACCAATGAGACCAGGGGTGTCCTGAGGCTGGTCCAAGAAGTCAAGAAGGAAGCCATAATGGCGCAGTTGAAGCTCTGCCTGTATTTTACAGGAACTGTTTTCCTCAATCTCTGTCACCATTTACCAGGACAGAGACAACTATATTGTAAACACAAACATTGCACATTTCTGGGATTTCACTACCACAAATCATCTCTCTCTTGGAAGAAAGTGCCTATGATGAGGCAATTGGCATTCCTTGAAAAATATTCTTACATCAGCAGCTTAGAGATTTAAAAAGACATTGAAAATCCTTTTTCTTTTTGTTAACAATAACTCAATTCATCCTGCTTTTAATGGTTAATCCTCCATCAAAGATACATTGAGCATTAACTGTACAACTTTTGCAATTTCTCTGCCCACTTTCTGATGTTATATCATTCGGTTTTTTTCTTTTTTCTTCTTCTAGTTGCTTTCATTACTTACGTCACCATGTCAAAAAGTTTCTTTGGCTCCACAGGAACAGGATAGAAGGCCTCCTCTATGTGCCTCTGATTACAGTTTGCATAGGCAGTTGAAATGTGGATGAGGGCTTCGAGATTCTTCATCTGGTGGGCCAGCACCAGGAGCTGCTGGGTGCCCATGACATTCAGGAGAAGGGCGTCCCTGCTCAAGAAAGCAGAAAGAGCTAGGATGAGGTCCAGCTGGGGCGAGAGCAGGTCCAAACCGATCCTCTTTGCTCCTCCGAGAGCTGCTTCAGGCGCTGAAGAGGAACACAACACAGGGAAACCTGCACTTCTGGATTTTCTCCAGTGAAAGAACTACGGTGAACAGGCCTCGTGGATGAGATCCTGGAGGGCATTTGGGAATCTCTCCTCACTGCACAGAATTAGTTCAGTAGTATCTCACTTGGTGTGGAGAAGACCACAGGTGCAACTCACACCATCTTATCAGGGGTCTCTGGTAGTAGAATTGGAAAGGACCGTGGCTTGGTTGAATATACAAAAGAGTTGACAAAATGAGACACAACAGTGCCATCAACCTGCCTCAGCCCACAGTGGAGACAAACTCCATCCAAGTCCCGGGACCCTGATTTTCAGGGACGTTTGCCTTTTGGCAGTGGGAGACTCAGAGCTCCCCCCATTGTTCCTAAAAGCCATATCTTCTGTTTCCATTTATTTGGAGGCTGCTGATGAGCAAAACTGGAATTACAGCCCTTGAACCTCCAGGACTGTGCCTATTAGCTCCCCAGGTTTGAAGAACTACACGAATAAAATATCGGCAATGTACTTTAAAAAAAATTCTTCTCTAAAGGTATTGGATAGAAAGAGTTTTCAGATAAAACGTCGCTCTATTTCTTTGCAACTCATTTTTCCCTCTGAGAATGTCTTGAGGACAGGTCTGAGGCCTGCCATAAATCTGAGGAGAAAGCAAGGAGAACATACTTCAGGGGCTCGTCAAATCGAACAGTTGCAGCACAATGGAAGATCACGTTGATCTCAGAGAGCAGCTCCTTGGTGTCTTCGGGAGAGATGGCCAGGTTTGGCTGGGTGAGATCAGCACCCACGGGCTTAATCTTCTCATGGAAGTTGGGCCATTCTTCGCGGACTCTATCAAACAACTAGAGCGCAACAGACAACATTCACTCATCAAAAGAAGGAAAATGCTCAGGTTCCTGATGTTGCAATCCACCAGGAATTAATTCATCTTACAGTTTTAATAGCAACATCAAGTGCCACCAGTTAGAGCCAAAATGACTGCCGAGCAAACTTTTCAAAGATATGAATCAACTGAAGAATACATGAGCTTTGGGCACCTGTCCCCCAACTTTGATAATTAATACCTAATTATTTGTCTTACTTTCAAAAGACTGTAATTGTATTCTCTCAGAACAATATCAAAACCTGGGGAAAAGTTGAATTCAGAACAACGGAACCAGCAGGACAAGTTACATGGTAATTGATTTCCAGAATGCCTTATTAAAAAACACAGATCAATGGTCTGCCAGGACTTGCGCTTGGCAGGGAGTTGAAGGGGTTTCCTCTCAGTTCCCCCCCGCCCCCGGTCCTTTTCTTGCAAATGTTTCATTACCCAGCTAGGTAACATCTTCAGTGCTAGAATGGGATGGGGGTTGCTCTGTGTTTATATACTGTGGCCTGCCCTGCCAGTGCTGGTAAGGGTGGGGGTTTTGTTTTGCTCCTCTGCTGGTTCTTTGGTTAACATGTTTGCTGCTTGATTGTGTGCCTGGTGGTAACCTTTGCTTATCTGAGTGATGATTGCTGGTGAAGATGTCCTGGTCTTTTGTTTTCTTTTCTATTGTCTCTTTTGAATAGTGTGTAGATGCTGTTTATCCCTATGTGTCTGTTGATTGCTGCCTTGTCTGAATACCAAGCTTCCAAGAATTCCCTTGCATT